TGTGAAAGAGACATGACAAGGAAAAGCTTTACAAGTTAGGGGGGAAAGACCTAGGGAAAAGACCCTTGTCTGTTGGTTAAGAGTCAATTAAGAGGAATAATATAAGGAAGGAATGGGAGGGCCGAAACAGAGTGCACAGACCTATAGATGAATGGCACAGCCATATGAATCAGGATTGCAGGGGATGTCCTACCTGGGCCATGTAGTATTGTTGGCCTAAATCTTTCCATCTTCCTGCCTGTCTCCTGGGTGTTGGGTTTATAGGCATGTGTTGCCATGCTTAGCTTGTTTTGATTTTAATCTCAGCAAATATAGACTGAGGTTGTATGTTATTTTCTATTAAAATGACACTGTTCCAAGATCAAATATATTAAAATATTACCAGGTAAGAACTTGTACTAGACAGTGATCTTTGTTTTGTTTTGTTTTTTTAATCTTTCTGAGACAGAGTCTCCCTGTAGCTTCAACTGGTCTGGAACTTGCAATCTCACTATATAGACCAGGCTGGCCTTGAACTCACAGCGCTCTACCTGCCTCTTCTTCCCAAATGCTGGGATTAAGGCATGTGCCACCATGCCTGGCTAAAAGGCGTTTTTAAAAGCTTATAAAATTTTTGAGACTGCGGGTGTCGGGGGAGCTGGAGAGATGGCACCTTTGTTAAGAACATTTGCTGTTCTTCCAGAAGACCCAGGTTTGATTCCCAGCATCCACACGGCAGCTAACAACTGTCCATAACTCTAGTTCCAAGAGATTTGATGCCCTCTTCTGGCCTTCTGGTCTTTGCATGACACAGTGCACTTACATACATTCAGGTAGTACACACATACACATAAAATAAAATAACAAAATATTAAAAAGAAATCTGAGACTGGGTTTTTGGGGTGTTGGGGAGCATACCCTCCAGATCTAAGCTATTCCTTAGGTTCATTCATATGTTCTTTCTAAAATCTGCTAATCACTTAATATGTGGAGAGAGGACCCAAGTTGTACTTTGCAAATGACCTTCCTGACCATTGTGCTTTCCTACTCTTCATTCATTTCACTAAATCCCATGCAATTTAAAATAAATGATAATTTTCCAAAATCAAACAATTGATATGTATCATCAGTTGGCAATCATGGCCAATTGGGAGCTCACTGGGAGGCCAGCATCTAATTGATTTCACATAAATGCATCTCTTCAACATTCTGCTGTTTCAGCTCATTAATTATTTCATTTGGCTCCTTATGGTGAACCCAGAAAGACTAGGATGTGTCTACTGAATGGGTTAGTTAGCTCTACTGATCATCCTCCATCAGTCACATTTCCTGACTTTTTCTGAAAAGTCTTGATTTCATAAATTCTTATCATTATCATTGTATCTCACAAATCAGCAATCAAAACGTCCTGCAAATTTCAATATTTTATTGGCCAAAGTCATCATCTTGTCAGAAAGAAACAAAATCTCTTTTCCTAACCAAGTTTTTTCATTAAATTGTAATATATGGTTACCACAGAACTGTAGCTCCAGTAGCCAGTGGAGCCTTCTGGATGAAAGGCAAGTTTGTAAGAGAAGGTGATTGTTATTATTAGCAGGAATCATCAACATGGGCTTTTAAAAAATGCATGGAAATAGAACTATTGGTTAAAAATATATTATGTATCTGCCTCCTAAGGACGCCTGTGTGCGTGTGTGTGTGTGTGTGTGTGTGTGTGAGTGTGTGTACGTATGTGTGTGCCTGCATGTGGAGGCCAGAGGTCAACCTCAGGAAATAAGCTGTTCACCTTGTATTTTGAGATAGGTTCTCTATAGGGGACCTGGGGCTCATGCTCACTGATTTGACGAGTCTGACTGTCCGTAAGCTACAGATTTCTGCCTGTCTCAGCCTCCCCCACACATATATGTTCTGTCATGCTCAGATTTTTACATGGGTTCTGGGATTGAACTCAGGTCCTCATTCTTACAGCAAGCACTTGACAGTTGAGCTCTCTTTCCCTAACCTGTTTTGATTTCCATCCTGAAACTCCCATTTTGTCTTTCCTGCATCTTACCAGGATGTAGTTCATCTTTGTTTCTGTTCCCTTCTGTGTCTTTGCTGCCAAACCTTGTACAAAACAAAGAGTCAGTAAATGACTCTAGAAGGGACACAGATCCCACTAGGCACAATGTTTGCTGTTGAATTGGACCTGCCTGCCATGAGCTAGTTTCATGGTATAGTTCACTTAAAGCTGTGCTGTAATAAATGAACAGGCTTCTTTTTGGTTATACTTCCTACTTATCTGTCATTCATGGTCTCCTTGAGCACTTTTCAGACTCTGTTTAGTAATAACACTCATAGCGGACTCTTCCCCCTACAATCAAACTACTTTCTTTAAAAGAGAAATATAATGGGCTTGAGACAGACTTCAGTTGACAGAGAATTTGCCTGGCATGCATGAAGGCCTGGTTTGAGCCCCAGCATAGTATGAACCAGGTGCGGAGGCTTACCTCTCTAGTGCCAGCACTTGGGGGTTTGGGCTGGGAGAAGCACTTGGTTACATTGCAAGTTCAAGGCCAGACTAGGCTACATGAGCTCCTATCTCATAAAATAAACAACACCCACAACTGTAATAAAGAAAATGCAGGAAATTTGGGATGTTTCTTATGGAAAAAGAACATGGGCTGGTGGTGTGGCTGTGTATTAGGGCACTTCTCTGGTGTACACAAGGCCCTGGGCTTCATTTTCAGCACCCTTAAACAAACAAAATGGAACACAGACAGAGACAGCTTATTAGGGAGCAGATTATGAAAACACTCACAGGGTAAAGGACTAAATCCTAAAACACATTCTTGATTCCACAGTTGGAAAAACAGGTGACATATGCCATGCTAATCTTGAATTACCACAGATGATTGACAATGTGTTTTCCCTTTCCCTTTTTGAACATAAGTTCCCATAATCATCTTACCCCTTCCTCAACATAACATGTTTGGAGTATGTATTGGGGACATATAAACAGACTTTTAAGCTCATATATTTCCAAATCAAGAGAAACCCATGTGGGGATCCAGAGCTGGGGCAGATGAAGAGATTCAAGCAGTGAACCTTTCATGTCATGGATTCAACCACATTTGGGGAAAAGGGAGGGAATATATTTTGCATGTTGAAGATATATGAATTGCTGTGGTCAGAAAGTTGGCTGCCACCTACCATTTCCAAAGATGGCTGCTAATAGCGCTATTCAGTCCAGTTCCTAGATGCTTCGCCACCCAACTTGGACATGTGACTTATTTCAACCAATGAAATGCAGCAGACGCAACACACTAGCATGCCAGAGCCTAGGCTTAACAAGCCATTGAGCTTTTTCCCTCCTAGGATCCAACCACTGTGCAAAGAGCCCACGTGTCAGCGTATAGAATTATGAGAGGGACCCAGGGAACAACCAGCCACTTCCATACATTTCAGCCACTTCTGCTGAGATACCACATGTGATCTACCTTGGATTCTCTGGCCCCAGGTAATCTACCCCCATCACTACATGGATCAGAGACCTTGCTGCCAAACTTCGTACAAAACCACGAGTCAGTAAATGACAGTTATTTTCTAATGCACTAAATTGGGGACAATAGATTATGCGAAAATAAATCGCAGAACCACTTGCTTAAATGGTAGAAGTGAAAATGTACAGATCATGACATACATTTAGTTGTTTCATTAAATTCTTCTACAGTGTGACCTTTGTGGGTTTTGCTTGTCTTTACATATTTTCTGATAACTGTTGACTTTAAAAAGATATTTTATTTATATTTTTATTTTATGTATATGAGTGTACTGCCTACATGTATGTAAGTGCACCCATGTGATGCAATGCCTGAGGAGGTCACAAGAAGACTATCAGATTCTCCTAGAACTGGAGTTATGGACGGTTGTTAGCTGCCATATGCTGGGAATGGAACCTGGGTCCTCTGCAAGAGCAGTCAGTGTTCATAGCTGCTGAGTCATCTCTCCAGCCCCATAACTCTTGACTTTTAAATAGTCAAAATAGTATAGAAATGAATAACAGATTTCAAAGCAGCAATAAATACTGATTACAGGCATCTACCAACACATTTTGTATACAAAGCAACAAAACTGATTTGACTTGACCCATAGGACTATTTAAATAGGCCAATGGTTATACACATGGATAAGATAGCTCAAATGGAAACCATCATGTTGTACCAATATAAGGAAAAATACATTTAAAATCATCAGGATCTTTTCTTTTTTACATTCGGAGTATTTAATTTAGAAATTGTCTCTCTCTCTCTCTTAATCACCAAAATATGACAAAGTCAAGAATATATAACTATCCTTGGAAGCTTGACTTCAGTATTTTAAAAAGTTAGCTCAGATGCCTGAAGGTAAATTTTTTTTAAATTTATTCATTATTTTTATGTATATGTGTGTATATTGTCTACATGTAGGTAAGTGCACCTGTGTCATGCAATGCCCAAGGAGGACAGAGGAGGCTGTCGGATCCCTTGGGACTGGAGATATGGACAGTTGTTAGCTGCCATGTGGGTGCTGGGAGTCGAACCCAGGTCTTCTGTTAAGAACAGCCAGTGTTCTTAACTGCTGAGCCATCTCTCCAGCCCCTGAAGGTGAATTTTATAACACAGTTTGACCAAATATGCATCTCAGAAGGCAGATCATTAGTTATGTAAGCATGCATATTGCATAAAGCAGAATTCTAGGCCATGCTGTTAGAAGGTGCTAGGACATGAATGGCTTCCCTGAAGTCATGCTGCATGGCATCCCTGTATGGAGAGTCTGTTGTAGGCAAAGCTAAAACATAACTTTGCTCTGAAAAACTGGGGCACTTGCAGGAGCTGAGTGATACATGATTAACAACAATACATCCACAACTCAGGGACATCCACACACTCTGGGTGAGGGTAGACTTTAAAAAGTGAACTAAGCTGGTCTTTTACAGGGTAAGGACAGTAAGGAGTGTCTAATTACATAAAATCATCATATCCATAGAGGATGCAGCTTACCTGACATGCTGATGGATGGGTGTGGTTAAGATCCCAATGGGAAGACACTATGTCAACAGACTTTTTGGCCATGTTGAGTAAATTCATCCAGCCTTGGAAAAGTGGTAAGTGAAATGGCGCGTTTTCTGAATAGTTAAGGCCTTCAGGAATATTTTCCACCAGGGCAATTCTTAGAAAAGATTTTGAAAAACAAACAAACAGAAGCTAGTCAAATTTTGCCATTGATCTTTCTTGGTGCATTCATATAAAAACATCTAGAAAATATTCTTTAATCTTTCTGATTTTTTTTTCATAATTTGTTTTCCTATCAAAGGCTTCTTGCATTTCCTCTACCCTAACCTAAGGTGTTTGAAAATTTATACTGTTTTTCCATAGTTAGCCTCTGTATTTCAGAAAAATCCAGTATATATCACTAATGTTGAATTTTAAATTAGCCTTGAAAAAAATATCAGGGTTTCCTACATAAGCATTTTCTTCTAGTAACATACTCTTAATTTTCCCCCTGGAACAATGATATAGTTTTTTATAATAATTGTATATTCTTATATGCAATACTACTTTCTGCAAGCTTCTTGAGACTATGAATTAATTTTTCATATCTGCAGTGTCTAGAACATATTGGAATTCAATACATGCAATCACTGCAGCTTAGCGCTTCTATTGGGCTTTCCAGCCCAAGAAGAAAAGTAATATTGGGAAGAAAGTTATAAAAACTGCTGGGTTCAGGGATTTATTAAAGTCAGAGATAAAGAATTTGCAAAAGGATGGTAATAATCAAGACCTAAATAAAGTAAAGCCAACAGTCTCCTAGTAATTTTTCTCCTTTTGTACTCAATACAATGAAATCACATCTGTGGTGAGACCTTCTCTTTGGTTTTGTGCCTAAGTCTACCCTTCCCACTTCTGACTTAGGTAACACATAGATTCTTAATTAAGGAATTTACTAAATGTATATTCTCCTGCAAAGGAGAAATCCCAAAGCTCATAAAGACACCCATTAAGTGCTTCCAGAAAAGGGATCAGTTTTATTCATCGTCAAATGCCCTGAGACATGCACAATCAGGGACTGGAATGTAGCTCAGGGGTAGATCATATTAGCATGCATGAGACCATGGGTTTGATCTTTAGCAATACACACACACACACACACACACACACACACACACACACACACCTTCACTACACAATTGAAACTCAATAAATGCTTAGAAAATGAATTTTAGATTTCAACCCAGAATTTAGCATTTCTTAATGAAATTATTAACCGATACTCTTTTGAGACTTCATTTAGCCAGATTAGAAATATAAAAATACTGCTAAAAATGGACTTGTATAATGGATAAATCTAGAATATTAAAGCTAGAATGAGATTTGGGTATGTAGCCTAAAGACAAACAGTGTTGGAGTATAATCATACCAGTATTACCTATAAACTCGCTCGATATTTGTTGCTTCCTTAAAAGGAGAGGCCAAGCAAATCACAGTATGCAATACAGAAACAAAACAACTGTGAAAGATCTCCTTGATCCTCAGGAACTTATAATCTAGTGGGAGAGATGATCTCATACACACTGATTCAAACAGGAAATAGACTCTAGTAAGCATTAAAACAAGAACATGAAGTTTGACTGCAACATGGGTAGAAAGAAAATTAATTCTAGTTAGGGACATCTGTAATGGGAGGAAACTGGACCTGAAATGAATCTGTGAGACAGGGTATTTTTAAAAATATTTTCTTTATTATTTTTATTTTATGTGTGTGCACGTATTGCCTGCATGTAGGTAAGTGTACCTGTGTCGTGCGATGCCTGCAAAAAACAGAAGAGGTTGTTGGATCCCCTGGAACTGGAATTACGGACTGTTGTTAGCTGCTGTGTGGGTGCTGGGATTTGAACCTGGGTCTTCTGCAAGAACAGTCAGTGTTCTTAACCTCTGAGCCGCCATCTCTCTAGCCCCCAAGACAGGGTGTTTTTTTGATGAGTAAACCAGAAGTCAAAGATATTATGGGTAGAGAGCAAAGTGTGTGCATCTGCACATTTGTGGTTTGGTGAGTGACATAGGAGGGAACAGTAGCCGCTTATCAAGTGGAGAAAAGGCAGCCTCCAGGAGCTAACACTGTGGAAGGCTGTGCACACAGTGGAGGAGTCTGGACTAGGTTTCAACAGCCAAATATGCTTCAGAGGGGGTAACTCTGGCAGCACGCCTGAAGATGATGACGAGGGAGAGATGGGAAGTTAGAAGATGACAAGTCAGTGGAGGTTAAAGGGGTTGGAATAATTCTGGAAAGAAATGTACGAATTTTGAATTAGGTCAGTGGGAACAAGAGGCATGCAGTGGATATTTATGAAGTCAAATCTTAAAGATGCTATGTTATTATGGGTATGAGGGACAGGTAAAAGAGGAGCAGACAGACAAGATGAACTCTGATTTCCTGCAGAGATACAAACTGCCTCACCTGTCTAGAACCACCTCCAATGGTGTTCTTACAGGAACTTGTCCTCTCCTCCAAACCATTTGCCATCCACATTTGTATTACTCTTCTGAAAGAGTAAATATAAGCATTTTCCCCAGTTTAACTCTTTATGGGCTCCCCACTGGCCTTAGGGTGCTGCCACTCCCTCTCCACACTGAGGATGGCACAGGTCTCCACTCTGCCTCTTGGTGGTTTCACGGGACTCAGATGCCTTCTCTGAGGCATCTTTTCCTTTGTCCCTGCTCTTGTCTCTGGACTCTGGCACTTTAAGTATATCTCCACAATCCCAATTGCTGATCTATGAAGCTGGAATTTTTACATTTTTATTTTCCTTAATCTCTAATTAAAGTCCAGCATTCCATTTGTTTATGAATACAAGAAATAAATAAAAATAATGCTGGTAGACTCTGTTGTTTGGGCTCCATTGAGAATTTTCTCTTTTTTTTCTGGAACAAGATGGTGCCATGCCTACTACTCTATCCAGTCTGAGGATAAGGATTGTGCATGGTGAATGAACTCCCACATTTTACAGAAAGCCCAGGGTTTCCAAGGGGGCCTGCTGCAGTCTCCACAGTCTCCATGTTGAAATCTTTCAGTCTTTTCAAGTTCAGGGCTGACAGTTGTGAATATGGGGAAAACTGCCATGTCTACACCTTTAATAATATGGAACCTTATTTGTCATAGTCAATGGAAAAAAAACCAAATACTATAAATTCACTAACAATAGACCACTGCAGTCTATAAACTTCCCAAAAGTAGTTTGTCCCAAATTCTCTCCAAAAAATATTATCCTGACAACATGGCAATCTTAGATGATTTGTAAAGATTTTTAAGTGAAGGTATTTAACCTACAACTTTAGGATATGAAAACTGCACCATGTTTCAATCTCTCATCCAGAAAAATAAGACAGAATTGTTGGCAGACTTAGTCAGTAGATGAAATCACATGCACCTGAGACGTTGACAATGAAGTTTAGTTCTTTGAAAACACCTATTTTTAATACAACGGAAAATAACTTAGATTTGAAAAAGTTCATGATTCTGTGAAAACCAATACTGTCTGTAATTTAAATATTTTAGTTATTTATTTTTATGTGTGAGTGGTTTGCCTAAATTTATGTAAATACAAAATGTGTATATAATGTCTGAGGAGGCCAGAAGAGGGCAGCAGATCCATCGGAACTGGAGTTACGGCTATTTGGTAGCCACTATGCCAATGTTGGGAACTGAACTTGGGTCTTCTTTAAGAGCAGCCAGTGTGCTCTTAACCATTAAACCATCTCTCCGTCTCCTTAAATATATTTTCAACATGTTTATACATAAGTGTGTGTGTGTCTGTGTGAGTGCATACCATGTGTGTGCAGATGCCCCATCATGGCCGGGATCTCCTAAATCTGGAGTTACAGTTGCTTGTTAATCAGCCAGCATGGATTCTGGGTACTGAACCTGGATCCTCTGAAAGATCAGCAAGTGCTCCTAACTGCTGAGCCATCTTTCCAGCCCCTTAAATATATTTTTAATGTTTTATATTTTAGTACCTGTGGATTTATAGGCATTAATTATATTGCTGATAATTTTCATGAATTATTTTATGAAATGTTTTAAAAGCAGGATTAGGAAAAGTTGTTTCTACTTAATTAGAAGTTTTGTTCATAATACCGTTATATTGCATTTGAAATGCATCTGAAAGATAAATATGATTACGGCATCTGAGAGATAAATGATTACGGAACAAAAAGCTACTACTGTGTTGGTAACAGCTGGAACAGAGTTGTTAACAAGACAGGGCCCCTGAAAATAGGAACAAATTACATTACAACACAACAAATGGAAGAAGAGCTGAGCTGACTACCAAAAGAATGCTCACTTAGGACATAGCCTAGAAATCCAGTCCTGAATTCCATGCTGCGTATGGCTTCATGCCTATCAAAGTGACGATTTCCAACTTGAAATGTGATCTTGCATTTGACTTTGGAACTGGTCCTTTTATGAGCCAATGATAGCCCTCAAGACATGTTAGACCTAGCTAGATTTGGGAATCTGACAGAACAAAGGGAACACGACGATCCCATTTATAAACCACTGGGCTCTGATTCTGATTCTACACAATTTTTTTTAACTTTTAAAAAAAACCAAACCCTTTGTTGAGAATTTCATACATGCATATAAGATGTTTTGATCAAATCCATGCCCACTCCCTGCCCTCCAACGTCTCCCATATCTCTCTATCACTTTTTTTTGCTTTGCTTTATTTATTTTTATGGGCCTTTGGGCTACTCTAACATTGCCCCCTATGAAGAAGTATCCCTAAAATCTTTTAAGGATTAGATACAAGCTCCCAAATACTTTTGACATTTTTTGGACTTTGGAACAGAGTATGTTGCTAACAGGCCCAAGGACATTTTGACTTTTAGCGAAGAAACTGGCAACTTTTCTTTGAGGTCTTTTTACCCTAACTGCCTAGCCAATTCCTACCTCCTATTCTTATCACACCATCTTCTGAAGAGGTTATCCAAATTGCTGATAGGGAATAGGGACACAGACTGCTCTGGCTTCTTCCATGCTGAACAGGGACGCAGGGTGAGGCAATTGGAGTACCCCTTCAGTGGGTCTATCTAAAAGACTCCCAAATTGCATAACTCTTATCTCTAAGGGGGAAAAGAAAGTCCTTGAATCGTGAATAGGAGACATGAAGG